TAACCTGATTAAATAGAAAACTGTACTCTGCAGTAATAAATTTTAAACCTTGAATAACAAAGGATATCACCGCTAAAACTTTGAATAACCACAGTGATAACTTTGACACTTTGATTTACTATAGTGATAACTATGACAATATAGTGATCACTATGACACTATAGTGATCACTTTGAAACTTTGATTTACTTTAATTAACTGTAAAAAACTATAGTTAACTTTAGTTTAGTACAGTTTTTTGTTAGGGGTTTTCTGTTTCTTGCATTTGTACATTATGGTATTGGAGTGATGTGATTTTTTTTCAATGATTTCGAAAAAGTGAATGAAGATAACGAACAGTAATAGAACTCGAAGGCCATTGAAACAATACAGATTTGGAGCAGAGCAAACACAGACCTCTACAAACGTCAGTCAACATTCGACTTAACGAAAGACTGTATTTGCTAGCAAGGTCATTGTATCGACCATAGAATTTGCAAAATGTTGACTTTAAACGAAACTTGGTATCCTTGTTATCAACGTATTTGTAAATATCTTGTCTCGTTTTAGTTCGTCAGTAGAACATGCTATTGCGTATCGAATCAGCTGGGGGACATTATTTCCATATGCAGGTGATAACGGTATATTGCTACAAAAATAAGGGAAGTTGATGTTAGAAAAGGAAAAGTATCACGATTAGCATAAAGTTTCAGTGTTAGTTTCCCATTAATGTCTCTCTCTATAAAATATCCAGATATGAAACAGATGATTCGGACTTTTATTTCGAGTTCAAAGGAATATCAGCGTAGGCATGAAAATAAATATTATTAATTGATAAAACGTCGTCGATATATTTAAATGTTGAATTGAAGGCCACATCAAGATACTTCTTTTCATGCAGAAGGTTTTGACAAAATTCTTCTTAAAATGAATTTAAAAACAGATCTGCTAATATCGGGGAGAATAGGATCCATTTGAATGCCAACAGATTGTTGGAAGATCTGATTTCCAAAACCTACATAGATATTGTCTATCAGAAACTTATACATGTACTTAATATCAACTTTGAAGTACTTGTTTGTAGAATCAGAATGTTTTTAACAAAATAATTTTGCAGATGACAAAAAACAAGGTATGAAAATACGAGTTCCGAGAAAAAAGTAATTGTCTATGATGTAAGAAAGCCTGGTCTTTAATTTTTCGAGGGGAATGGTGCAAAATTATTGCGTTAAAGAATATCAACAGTCTTGTTTTGAATCAACATTTCGCAAATTCTATGGTCTATCCAATGACTTTGGAAGCAAATACAATCTATCATCAAATCAAATGTTGACTGAAGTTTTTCATACAAATTGTTAGGCCATTATTTTCAGACAATAAATTGTCTACTGATTTTTCCGTTTCCCCGATTATGACAAAACCACACAGAGGGTATGAGCCGTCGACTGGGGATGCTTTCTTCTTAGGCATTTGATTTCACCTCTGATGTTTTCAGAGGTCTTTGTTTGCTCTGCTTCCAATTTGTATTGTTTCAATGAACTTTCGAGTTTGATTACTGTTCGTTATCGTCATATTTTACTCATAAAATATTTTTGCAAAAAGTAGCATTGAATATAATGGAAAGAAGAAAACCATTAAAAGAATTTTCTTTGTGACTTATAAAACACATTCTCTGACCAAATTCTATTAAACCTACTCTTTGGCATTCACAACCGTGAAAAAAAAAATTAACGAGGTTGCACCTTAAATTTAAAATTTTATTTGAATTAATTTAGTATGTGTGCCTTTTTTCATTTATTTCGTATTAAATTTAAAAAAATCAAAATAAAAACTATACACAGGATGATAGTCTTCCATTCAATCAGTTGAATCTTCACTGAAAGATCTGTAAAGGTGACTGAATAGTAGAACTCTCTTCAGTCATCATTCAGGAAATTTCAGTCATCTATCAGTTAACTAAATGGTATAGGTTCATCATGTGAGATTGTTGTGGTTTTTATAGTTCCTTCTGAGCAATATCTAAACTAATTTTCCTGTTTTTAGTCGATTTCTATTTGTCAATAACTAAGGGTTAACACCTCCTTTTTTTTAAACGCTAACACCTGAGATTTCTATAATTAGCACGACAAAATGCAGGAAGTTATTGACTTCGTCGCTTCTTTTGACCGATAGTATACTTTGTTTTGGGTGTCATATATTGAATAAACCTAAATGATTTCCACATGACGAAATTATCATGATCACGGACTCAGCCTTTATTTTACTATTTAATTGCAAGTCAAAAGCGTTTCATAAAACTTATTATCTCCAGTCTTCATTACTTAACATTTTTATATTCAAACAATCATTTAAAATCTCTATGGAATATAGATACACCAAATCTTTTCAGGTGCCCGCAAATGAGTCTTTACATATAAGTGCTGTTATCATTAGTCAATTTGTTTTCCTTTGAACGCTCTATTTTTATTTATGGCCTTAGACTCAGATTCGATGACGGGGCCTCGACAAAATCTTAAGTAGTTGATTCTGAAAGCAATTTGCTGGATTCAGTTCAAAATATGATATATGGAATCGAAAGGTCAATGGAGTTATTTGCTATTAAGGAAAGTTATTAAATGGATTCTTTTGTTTTCATTGTGATTGATTTGTCTGGGGCATTTAACGTGACTGTCAACAAGTCAATTCATATTCTTACGCTCGGCTATAATTGAATTTGAAATATTTTCCTGCTTAGACAGATATCAATCACCATAATACTTCAGGAAGTCAAATCATCAAGTGTTTTCGTTATAACATGTATGTTTTATTATAACATATCTCCCTCGTGGTGCAGTGGCTAGAGCGTTCAGTTTTACAGCGTAGAAGAATAAGGTGTTAACCCTTAGTTATTCGAATCCCACAGCGGAAATTGGATGAGACCGTATAATCTGAGGTCCCTTGTCGCAGTGGTTGTAGGCACGAAAAAGATCCCTCACTTTTTGATGGTCAAGTACTACCATGTAGGTCTAATTTTGCAGAACACCACCAGTAACTGGTGGTGTCCTAGCATGAGTGATAAATTGTCAAAGGGACGTTAAGAACAAACATCAATTATAACCAACAACTTGTCAGTTTGCGGCCATTCTTTCGCAACATTAGAATACAAAATATCAAATACCAATACGCGAGCTTACAACAATGTTGTGTCTGAAGCGGTACTCCTTGGCAATTTATATGATTTGGATTAATCTCTTCAGCTCCTTAATTTTATAATGTAGTTCTTAAACCTGACTGTTGAAGTTAATTATTTTAATTTGGTATAGGTAAACAGATTAATTGCTGTTTCGCATCATTAGAAATGAAAATTGTTTTGAGTTTCATCAGCGTGATTTTTATTGGAAAAAATTCATTTATTGCTCAAAATACAATAATTATAATTGTTGTGAATGCTGTTATGATTATTTCATTTTTCTTGCAATTTTTTTTACATTTGACATGTTTGATATATACATACCTGAATAATATATTTTCAATACACCTGATAACTCAGTTATATTATGTATAATGCTAAGAAGTCAATATGGTAAATCTTGTTTTTATTCACGTCTCTGCTACGTGAAATATTTCATGTGACCATGTGGTGTTAGCAACTATTTTGGCATTTTTAAAAGAGTCCAAGCAAAATATATGTCTTACAGAATCAGAATGAAGAACGTATAATAAAAAACAGTGGCTAATAAAGAAAGCTATGCTATGTTGGGTTTAAAATGTTATCAGTTTTAGAGAGCGCTGAGACAGATTTAGAACAATGAACATTGTGATTTGAAGTCAAATCAGAACATGTGAATTGAACACAAACAAGGCAAAGGGAAAGATCACATACATCGAGTTGGATAAAAATCAAATCCAACCACAAACCAATGGGGGATTCTTTCTATCACATGTTTACACTGTTTTTCATATGTGACTGACTGTTTCAATTTTACGCAAAAACTATTGTGACGTTACAACTGTTGATATAAAAACGATATCATAGAATTTTATGAGCTTTATTTACTGCATAAATTGCGTACACTTGTACTAATTAATAATTATGCATTGTAAATACACTTTATTGTATATATCTCGGTGCACTCTACTTTTTGTTCTATTGATATTAGGACAAAAAAATATGAAGGAGTAGTTTTTAGAAAGAATTTCACAAAAATCCAATTTGGAGACATTGTAACATAATTTACTGGGATGAATAACCGATATACAGATTTATATAATTATTTTGTTGTAATATTACTTGATGCCATATTCTACTGAAAAAATGCCAAAACTGTATCAAGAAGGAGCGTGTACTATATTTGGAGGGATTAATCAATGCTTTTAAAATTTGCTTCTAATAAAACATACATGTATTTACATTTAAATCCTGAAAAATCGATTGCAAAGGTACTTTCTTCTACGGGGCCATTATTCCGCGGAATTACAATTTCAGTTCAATCTGCAGGTATAAAATTACGCACATTTCTTGAAATGTTTTTGTAGATCTTAAACGCACATGCTGTGACAAATCTGTAACGGCGTACAAATTAAGCGTAAATTAATCCACAGCGGGAAAAAGTACGCATACAATATCTCTTAACTTTTTTGATTTCTTGATTATTTATATACTACATGTAGTACAATACATACATAACCAACATTCTATCAAATAGATCACATACCATAGTCACTGTTGTAAATTATCAAAATTAAATGTATTTTTATTATATAATATATGAGTTCCTCCCAAGATGTTTGTTTTTTCATATAAACATTATTTTGCTTTAATAAAGTATATTACTCAGATTTATGGGTCAAGTTATTTTGTGTACATGCATCTATCCGTCTCATCAAGGCTGAGCATTAGAAAATTTAAAAAATTCAAATATATTTACAAAAGCCGATATGATGAAACACATTCAAACATACTATAACTCTCATAATTTGCTCTATTCGAAATACCTAGTATAGAATTTGTCGACTAATTAAAAAAAAAGAAAATAACAATATGAAATTAACATCTTTTATTTCTAAACAGATCAATGGAAATAGAATTTTTATTACACTAACAACATGGAACATTATATTCGGACAAAATTTGCAGCGATTGTTACAGCTTAAGCAAATACAGCACAAACATGAAAATAGACACTTTTTTTACTCAGATCAGACATGCTTGAAACGCTTAATGATTCAAAATGTTTAATTAAATTTCAAACTGTCTTGTCTTCATAGTTTCTTTTCGCGGTAAATTTGATATGTAGAACTCTATCAAGCAATTTATTAGTAGGGACCTTTTATAAATTGCTTGTAAAGTTCTGTCTTCCTTCTTACTTAACAATTTGAGAGAGAGAGAGAGAGAGGGGGAGAGAGAGAGAGAGAGAGAGTGGCGAGCTTTTTTCTCCTTCAAGCATTTCTAAATATAAACTATCATGGTATGATCTGTCCTCATTTTTGAAAACAGTATATATTCAACTACAAACTACATGTACCTTATTCATCTAAAAATGGTTTTAAAATTAAAATCTAAATTTAAAGCAAAAATAGCTCTTCAGCTCTTCTTACAAATAATTTATGGCGAGAATCTATGAAGTATGATTTTCAACAGATTGAAAAGTTTTATTCATAAAAATCATATTTCATTGTTTGTATTGATAATTAAAACTTCGAAATGACGTCATTTCTTATCAGGTATTTTTTGTTATATACTTAATAACTAAAATGACCAGAAGATTCCACATACTCTCATTCTTGAAACAAACAGCATTGGTTGAGATGGAGCTTTTTTGCCACACATCGAGAAAAAAAAAAGATATACCATCAAACGATGACAAAAATATATATAGTAAAATAGGGATACTTAATTAGTCATTAAATATAATAAACAAGTTTCTCATAACTGTTAAACAACTTCAATTTGTTTAATATTTTTTCAGAGTTTAGAAAGCCAAGAACAAATGGATGCTTGTATAACACTTTACCGCAACTATGTTTATTCCATTATTGAAGATAAAATGCTTGTCAGAATTGTTGTAAATTGTGCAATTGTTTTAGGATAAAGATAATCGCTTTTGTGGCGATTTCTTAAAAAGCAACACGTAATTTGGTTACATGTAAAATCACACAATTATCAATAGTCTTTAATGTCATTATCAGTTTTTAGTACAAGAAGCACTTAAATCAAGAGAACTATGCGTGGTAGCCATAATTTCCCCTCCTCCTTCTCCTACATGCGTCCTCATATCAGCCTTGTCTGTTTCTGCACTTCTCTATGTCTATCGGTTTGTTGTAAAACATAAATCACACTGAACAATGCGTGGTGGCCATACTTTCTCCGCCTCCTCGCGTCGTCATAACAGCCTTGTCTATCATTGTACTAGTTTCCGGATTGTTTTCCTTTGGTGTTTTTTTACACTGACAATATTTACTGGCATATGGAAACTTCTTCTGGAAAGCTTTTCGAACACCCTCGTTCATGAACGCATATACAAAAGGGTTAACACAGGAATTGGCATATGACAGCGTATGAGCAAATATTTTGAATTTTAATAAAGCGGGGATTTGGGGAAAGTTTGGATCAAATTTATACCATAATGTAAAGAACTGTATCGGTAGCCAGCACCAGGCAAAAAGAAGAATAACAATGGCCACCATTCTGGTGACACGTTTCTTCCGTCTAAGTTGTCCTGCACTTCGTAAGGGGACAGTTCCATTTGCATTCTGCTGTTAATAAAAAAAGAAAATTAACATGGATGAATTCATTTAATTTTAATCAATTTTAAACAAAGATTTTTGAAGAAAAAAATTCGAATTTTATTCTTTTTTGCATGTGTATTGTTTTATTTTTGTTGTTTGGTTTGTTGGAAATATGCATAATTTAAACGTAATACGAGGGTTATTCAAAAAATACGTAGACAATGTCCACTTTCATCATTTTATGTTGACAAGATTTAAGATCAACACATTTTAAATGTAAAAATATTCATTTTGTCCTTATGTAAAGTTTCATTCCATTTGATTAAACGGAACTCATATTATTCAGTTTTAAAATCAAAAGGTTTGTACCAGGGAGCATAGTCGTGAAAGTTTTTTTCAAAGTCACTCTGCCTTTTCATTTCATACAGAGCGCTCGTTCCACGATCGGAAGGTCGTGTGTTCGAATCTCGGCAGCGACTGACCTAAGTCGATAAAAAATAGGTAGCAATTGTTCCTTCGCCAAGCACACTGAACTTTTAAGTGAAAGTTGCGGGTTCTTCAGATGAGTCCTTAAAAACTGAGGCAGGCGTTGGCACGATAAAAATCCCTTACTGCTCAAAAGCCCTGAGTACCGGGTAAAAGTCTAAATTTGAAACCCTTCACCGGTACATGTTGACGATTCTATATGACTGAAAAATTCTTGAATGGGACGTAAAACAACAAACAATCAATCAACCTTTCCATGACCTTACTGGCTCTTTTGACTAGATTTGAACTATATAATCTGTTTATTCGAAGACCGTCCATCGTCCGATTCAAAGTCTCTACCACTCAAAAGCTGTCTTTTCCATTTACATACAACCGAACGGCTTATTTTTTGATACACTTCCTTGGTTCCTTCAGCATTTCAGTGTTTGTTTTAGAGGTATTCCGAGTGCATCCTAGATGCATTTTAGAAGGAAAAAGGATGTACAACGACTGCATATTGTGAAAGTTTTCAATTTTAGCAAATATTTATAGATTAGTTTTTCATATTTATGAACACAGAATTCTATAGGAGAGTTGGGCTTGTCCATGCTTTAATATACATTCCTAAAATCTTTTATAAATGCATTTTAAAACATTAATGTGATCCTGATTTGTTCACGAAGTTTCTGCTTTGATGTCATTGTTTCTTTTATGCTAAAGCTTTTAGCTAATATTTAGTTGCAAATAAACTGTGCTTAATTTGGTCATTTATTTGGCAAAGTTATTGATCATTCATTGTCAAATAACCAAAAAAAGCATCAAAATAGCTGGTATTGTTTTGCCGAATGCACATGGATATCAGTTTGGTTTACGGATACAGTGTTACAGATAAAATATCTTTGAAATCAAGAAATTATGTACATATAAGCATTTCATAAAACACAACTTTCTTTGCAGAATATTATTTAAAACCTCTATATCCATAAAATTACATTACTTTCTACTTTCTTCATTTCTTAAGTTTCTATCCATATATGTACACGTTGGTTAGTGATTAAATAATTATAGCGAATGATTTGCCAAATTTTGTGATCAGATTTTTCTAATGCAAAGATTATTGAAAACATTAAATTATTTCTTCAAGTAATAATCCTTCACTAGTCCTATACACACACATTTTTTCATACACCTTTTCATTTACCGTATAGCAGGTTATTTTAGCGGGGTGTTAATTTTTGCTTATTTTGTCGTTTTGATAGTAGACCGCTAAAATATTAATCGCTAAAATAATCAGTACTCTTCTTAGTGTTCATCTGCAAAGAGTTGAAACCCTGTGTCCGCTAAAATAAATTAAGCCAAAATTATTGGCATACCTTTGAGCAGGCAAAACGCCAAATTTTACACCCGCCCCCCCCCTCCCCCCCCCCAAAAAAAAACCGCTATGCGGTACTACAAAAAGTGTAAGAAGTACATTTTTTCAACCTAGCAAAGCGTCGGCTTTTAATTCTGCAATCAAGTCCTTACTCTTTAGATAAAATGAAAAAAAGGAACGACCAGAAGGCAGTAAAGGGAAGACTTGTTATATTTTTACAATTTTTGATAAATTGAAATTGATTAAAATTTATGTGATAGAGAAACACAGTCATAGTTTAATTCTGATGATATATGCTAGACAGAATTACAAAGAAACATGTTTGAAATTGCTGCAATGCATGAAAAGAAACGTCTAAATAATTATTTTTCCAAGTTTTTGATGTTGGAAATAAAGTACAGCTTGGTCATTTACAAAGTTCCGCAAAGAGATCCTCGTATGGAATCAAGAGCGGAAGGTGTCCATTTCTTAATCAATAATTTCCGAATAGTTAATACCAGACCGCGTTCTATTCCGATTTTACTTCCAATACTTCGTGTCGTGCAATCTCCATTTATCAATTTTAACAAAGCAACGGAAGCCGCACATAGCGCAAAGAACGTCAACAGGAGATGGGGGTTATTGGTGTATAATGTCATTAACGATCTTCTTAACGGGAGAAAAAAGATTTCTGCAGATTGAATTATTTGTTTTTCTTACGTTAATCAGGAAGCTGACATCTGCTTCTTGTTTAAGAGAACATGACGTAATTCTGACGTAAAACGTAGATGTCAACTAAAATCTAACTTCAAAAATATATTGCGCTGAAGAAAACATAATGTGCGTTTTTCACTTGTATGACATTCTATATCATGATCAGAAGCACATAATGGGTATTGCACTTTATTAATTCCATTTATATATATATATATATATATATATATATATATATATATATATATATATATATATATATATATATATATATATATATATATTTCTCATTCTCTCATTCATACATGTAGAGTATGACTGATACCGATGATGTCGGTCATATTTTTATAAAACATTATTTTACGATCAAAATTAGGCGAGGAACATATTTTATTGATCCCTTGGAAAACATTTTCTCCATTATTAGATAGATGTTGCCAAATAGTTTTTTAGCATTCCTTTATCTTTGCTTATTGAGATATGTTAAGAGATGTGACGCAATGTGTTTTAACCTGAAGAAAGATTTGAAAGTGCAATTGTTAAAGGCTGTTTTTTTCTCATTCTATCTTCTTGTGAATATCAGTTTCAAGCATACTTGAAAAAAAAAAGAACCCTACCAATAAATCCCACTTAAAATTTTACTGTTTCAAACATATTTACCAAGTCAATTGTGTATATGATTTTGGTTATGTATAGGTCAAAGTCAAACTATCTAACATTAAATATTATTTATGTATATAAGAGTTTATACAGTTTGGAAACATTTTATAATGCGGGTTTGAATTTTATGAATACTCACTGCCTGCCTATAACTCCCGTTTGATCCGCCTTTCCAAAGATGAAGCAGTATTCTTGAATAACAAGCAATAATTGCAGCAAGTGGAATGACGTATGACGTCATGACGACGGCAAGCGTGGCACCTTTGTCAATGCTCTGGTCTGGCCAATCAGCTCCGCATATAGTGACATTTTCTCTATCTGGCATCTCCTTGTGAAAAATGGCAAATGGCAACGATAGGATAATGGAGACTATAGAATAAAGAAAGATTCATTTCATTTTTATTTTGAAAATTAAACATCTAAGGTTGAAAACTCATTGATGATATAAAGAAAATTACGATTTCAATTTTTACAAATTTAAGTTCTGGTGTTTGTTTCATGTTTTCATGAAGCTTTTAAAAAAGCTCATTTAGTTTATAGGACCTTTCTTTAAGCTTTGTTAAGTTTAGGGTGCGTAATCGCGACGTCTTTTTTTCTCTCAAACCTAGGTCGAGTTGTGACAGATATCAAAGGTAATTAATAGTCAATTAATGAATTTATTAAACATCTTACCACTCCACACGCCTAGACATACAAATGTGGAAGCCCGAGTGTTCCGCCAGTTCATTGATTGTATAGGATAGACGATAGCTTGGTATCTGTCTATTGTCATCGCCATTAACGTCAAACATGTAGCATGAACTGTTACCTAAAATTATACAAGGATTATTAGTGTTACAACTGTACCTAGATGACGAACTACCTCATACATGTACCAATGTCACCTGTGATTAATCTTCAGTGCAAAGATATGATGCAGTGCAAAAAAAAACTTAAAATTATAAAGGACAGAATTGTGAGTCCATTTCAGCCTAAAATATTTGCAGCAAAACATATGTACTTTGAAATTGCTGAGTTTATTATATGTCAATCAAATCTTAAAGATTCTTCTTCTTCTTTTTTTTATTTCGTATTTTTTTTCTTTTTTTTTCTTTCTTTTTTTTTTTTTTTGGTATTCCAAATTTTTTTTTTAAATGGACTTTTGAGCTTGATTACTGTTCGTTATCATCATATCCTTTCGAATACCAGAGACTGTTACATGTATAAGAATGTTCATCCGGAAGGGTGTGGTCGGAGGAAAATCATGAAAAAGATATAAATCACTGTATAGATAAAATAAATTATCCAATCAAAACAATGTATATTTTAATGTGCTACAGAATGAAGGTCGGGATCGATCCTAGAGTGCCTAAAGGTCACGGCGCACGGGTCAGGCTAAGTAAAAGAATGCGCAAAATACTTCTTTTCTTCTTTTTTTTTTTTTTTTTTTGCTTTTTGGGTGCTGTTTTTCTCTCCTTCCTTTACCGGTCAAAGTTTAAAAGGATTGGAATCTGGAAAATGATTCCATGAAACCCCTACCCCTGTTGCCTATTTCAAGATCTATAAAATCAGACAGAATGAAGACAGGGATTTGTAATTTTAATAACTGATAGAATATAACTTTGTACGATCTATTCCAAGTATATGATGAAATCCTGAACTGGGTCCAGCTCATGGGGTCAAAATCTCTATTTATGACCATTACTCGTTTTTACGGTATTGCTATGGAAAGGAATTTTTTCATTTTAAAGGCCCTTAATTGTCTTAATTTGTACATCTGTATGATTGTATGGCTGTGGAAAAGAATTTTCATTTTAAGGGCCCTTAATTGTCTTAATTTCTTCGTCTGTATGATTGTTTAACTCTTTCTTTTAAAAGAAAAATGATACGTTTTCCAATGAATATCAGGACAAAACACAATGTTAGAAGAAACGAAAACACTGAAATGAAACGTGAAGGAAAACAGGGATAAATTTTATGCTAAGAATCTATCTACTCCCTCCTCACCAAACTGGCTGTAATTTATTTACTGTATTGTTTAGATTGTTTTACCGTGGTGGTATTTAACGGTATATCTTTTTTAGTAAGACAACAGTGACAAACTGTGCATGAAATAAATAATATACGTACATAACAATATTTGAAAAAAAAGCTGTTACAGTTCACTTTTGCAGATTAGATTTTACACCAAATTTGCTATTTTTTAGTTTCATCAATTTGGATAGTTATTAAAAACATGATAACATCAACTTCGGAAATTGCAGTTGGATAATTTGTATATGTAGGCGGTCAATTACAAAGTGTAAAAATCAATAATTTATCAATTATAGACTTCTAAAAACCTCCAATCAGCGGCGCTGCTGAAAGGAATTTCGTTGCTATATTACTAAATGAAGCAGATTTTTGTCTAATACCAGTACACAGATATTCAATAATGCAGGAAAGAAATTGGATCACCCGCTCATACGTTACAAGATTTAAGATCTAAATCAATTCAGTATGCCTGCCAAATATCCCCATAACGCATATTTGCACATGGTTTAATAACTACATGTATTGAACAAATGATTCAAAATAAAAGTAAACAAGTATGCTTATTTGTCAGATGTCACTTTTAAAAAAAAAAAACAACTTGAAACTACCCATTCAGTCAACTGTAGGTTCACTGAAAGGTACGGGAAAATGGTTGAAGGGAGAGCTTTTGCATTCAGTAAACTATCAGTGAATTTTCAGTTATTAATCAGTTAACTGGATGAAATAGTTTCATCCTGAGAGTTTCAAATTCCCAGTCTCTTTTTTGCACCTTTTAAAAACCGCAGTGCTATCTCACGTTATGCCATTGGTTAGAACTAGTGATTCTATTGGTTAGAACTAGTGATTCTATTGGTTAGAACTAGTGATTCTATTGGTTAGAACAAGTGATTCCATTAGGTAGAACAAGTGATTCCATTAGGTAGAACAAGTGATTCCATTGGTTAGAACTAGTGATTCTATTGGTTAGAACAAGTGATTCCATTGGTTAGAACTAGTGATTCTATTGGTTAGAACAAGTGATTCCATTGGTTAGAACTAGTGATTCTATTGGTTAGAACAAGTGATTCCATTGGTTAGAACTAGTGATTCCATTGGTTAGAACTAGTGATTCCATTGGTTAGAACTAATGAATAGAATTATGGGTAAATTTCAAAATCATCAAAACACAATTCTACTAAAACATATTGATGATTTTACTGTAGTGAATACTAGTGCGATTCCAGTTGTTCATACCTTTATTCAGAAACTAGATTTTCATGTAATCAACGAATATGATATTAATTATGTAAAACGTAAATATTTGGCTCATCAACCTACCTACATGTAAATGTGAAAATGCATGACATGTTGCCATTTTTTTAAACGTTTGCCTGGACTGCTTGTTTTAACAAGCAATTAATGTTTTTGCTCACCCCTTTGGGAAAAAAGCTTAAATATACATGTATTTTTAATCACCATAATTAATGAATTCAAATGATTATAAAATACATATGATAAACTGAATCCAAGCCTTAGTCAGCAAAGGCATTTTCTTAAGGGCCATGCACCACAAACAAAAAGAAAACAGAATGCACGGATTAATATAAATTTATGGACTTATTTTGTTGGTAAATGATGCATAAATCAATTCTCTGGAATTATTAAAAAAATGGTAGACTTTCTATGATGTTCAAATTTCCTCCTTTTTCCCTACGTCCTAATAAATCCACACGATTTTATTTTTCACTATATAGAGCGTAATTGAGATACTTGAATGAAAAATGAAACTTTATGAGGTTAAATTACTTCATTATACTTTCAAAATAATTTTAAACCTGTTATTATCATGAGAAAAGTTTGCTCCAATCATCTGTTCTTAAGTCTCTTGCCTGATTGCGTGTCCGCTAGTCTGATCTACATACACACAGCAAATTTTAACAACTTTAAGTAATATGCAACGAACTTGATACTCTGTCTAATGAAAATAGTTCCCAAGAGCACAATTATCATCTGAAAAAGGATAATACAAATAATAAGAAATAGGACATTTCATGATGAATAACCTCGCCTTTTTGAGTACAATAAATAAATCAGATTATAGGGGTTTTCCTATTTTAAACGTTACAGAGAATACAAAGCGAATCACCGGCTTGTATTATTAGGCAACACAAGAACAATATCTTTAAATTGGGCGAAATCCTTGTAGGAAAAATACCCCTTTTCAGTATATGGCATTGTGTTTTTAGATTAATTTTCTATATGTTAATGATATTTCAATAAGGAGAAAGGCGGAAAATTAATAAGTCATTATTAATCACTGGGAAAAAAGTTGTCTAAATGAGATCATATGTTGTATTTTCATTATTTACAACAAAGAGAATAAAGAGTTAGACGAAGTTTTCTCTTTCAGGACTTCGTAATAGATTTGAATTGGTATTCCGAGATCTCTTTACTTTTAGTAAGAAATTCTTCAAAATACAGAAAATAAAAAGATATAGTGCTTAACCTGTATTCTTTGATTAGCTTACATCTACAGTTCATTAATGAGAAGCTAATATGGGCAACATTTCATTACTCTCTGAATTTACTGAGAAAAAAAAAAATAAAGTTTAAGTTATGCTCTCCCTGCTTTTTAGAGTAATGATAATTTGAAAAAGACTGACTTTAAAACTGACCCTTTTCTCATGTATTACACGCACGTATATACATGTGTTCACCTAATCTCAACCCAAACATTCAACCACGTTGATACACCTCGATTTCACATGAAATCTCTCGGTCAATTATGATTTTATAGACGTACATTTAAGAAATTAGAAAACTATCATCCAGATATGATACTGAAATGATATTCTAAGTTACTTTGACTTCGCTAGATGCATATATCAATTACCACTTAATACATTTCAAAGGAAAATAATGATTATTAGATGGGTCTTTGAACAAGAATAGTTTCAAATGGCAATCTTGTTTCTACATACTGTAAATGTATTGGAATGCAGTGTAATTTACTAAGTACTGGGATTATTATCAAAATTGCTTTTTGTTAAAAAAACCCTCAATGAATGAGGGCACTCCCATGGGATTTTAGAAATAGAAACCAGCTACAGAGTGCGGACCCAGTCACTTTATAAATTAATGTTTAGAGTAACAATTAACATGAATTGACTGATACAATCGTTCTTTGAGTGATATAAACCATGTTCTCTAGACCTTTCGACTTGATCTGTCAACCTTATTCACTTCAATAATGAATAAAAGTAATTTGTTGAACTGAATTACAAACAATTGAGTTCCTATCTCTCGGTTTTGCACTGTTAATTTTACTGAAACCTACTTGATGATCTTGATGATAAAAATAGCTCCGTGTCCTTTATCGTATCTTTGTAGAAACATATCTTTGAAATAAGACAGCACTTTATTAAATTGATTACATAGTACGTATAGGAGAACTAGTATAGGACTTTATATAACCTCTCTTTCACTGTGGTTCGTGTTAGTATAAATCTTCGAAGTCGATTTGTACCTATTTTGCTTTCTTAAACAATTATTGAAAAGACAAAAAAAATTAGAAGTTTGTTACGAGGCTGAAGCACTTGATAAAGAAAGAAAAAAGAACCAATATTAACTTATTATCTTTGGCAACGCCTATAAAAAGAAAATAAGTCTTTGCTTTAGTTTACTTGTGTACCAAGTTTCATTAAATTCGGACCAAAAGCAGTAGAAGGAGTATTGTTTTGAAGAATTCTAAACATATTTATATTTTCAGTTAACTTGCAACACTGTTCATCTATGTAAAAATCCAATATATAGAAT